TGGCACTTGGCCCAGAGTAAGATGCAATGTCCAAAACTGGTGATTGTCTGATCTATGTTATAGTATATTGGGGTGATGAGGAGGGCAAGGGAAGGGGCGATCATCCTATAAAGTGAACCTGCGTTAAGGCATTGGGGAATCAATGTAGGTAGAAGTAGGAGCCTTATGGTGGCTGCCATATAGAGCCGGGCTTACTTTGCACATCTTGTTCCTTGAAACATGCCACGTTTTAGCTGACTATACACTGCTAAAAAGCATTTCAAGGAGTGCCTGCATGTAGAGACATTTAGTGATACTACATTTTACATTCTCCTAGAGAATAAACATTTCATGTCTATAGTGTTTTCTATGATTTTCACACATTTAAGTTGCTTGTGTGTAACACTTTCAAAGTGTCATCTACAGAATTTGGTAGAGAAGCAAAAAAAAAAAAAAAAAAAAGTAGAATGGGCCATGTGACTCATCAACTATAACTTGATCTAAAACATTTAAAATACACCTCTATAAAAAAGTCAGATTATTAAATTTTGATCTTTCCTCTTGGATAAGAGGACAATATCCCTGAAACATGTAGAGAAGCAAGTATCACCCCCACATTTTTTACCATCTTAGGGGTGTGAAATCTCAGTATCTGTGGCTCATGTACTTAACTGTAACATGCTGTCAATTTATGTGGTTTTAATATATAAATTCATGTATATGTGAAAGAGATTTTTAATTTTTTGTATCAGTAAATATATTATTTTATGTTATTGTGTCGTTCATGAGTACCGAGATAGTCCATTTATTCCAGTTTGGGGTTATCCCCTCTCAAATTCCACTTAATCACTTTAGATGATGGTACCCCCATTTCCTTTTTTTCCAATTATTTACTTTTGAAGGCATTCTATTTAAAGTTATGAACAGCGATGTGGTGGACTGTTATTTCCACAGTACCATTTATAAATGACATTGGAGAAACACAAACACCATCGGATGACGCTTGCATCTATTGTTAGCTGTGAGCCATGCCCTCATTAGACAGCTTGGTTCACAGACACAGGGGTTTATTTACTAAAGCAGGTTCATTCAGAATCTCATGCACTTCTGCACAGAAACCAATCAGCTTACAGGTTCTATTGCTAAAGATTAAATGAACAAGCTGAGGTTAGAAGTTCATTGGCTACCATGCACAGGTGCACGAGATTCTGAGTGAACCAGCTTTAGTAAATAAACCCCACAGTGTACAGAGTGAATCCAAAAGGCTTTGTACCTTGTGATCACTGTGGTAACCAATCACAAATGTAAAAACATTATTGGATACATTGTTGATCCCTCCCCTTCCTTTTACAACAGAGGAAGAAGCAGAATCGTAGTAATTTCTAAATGAAGAATAAATAATTGGATTCCCTGCAGCAGATGATTCATGGTGAGAGATCTTCACTGGAGGTGGGATAATTTTGTTAAACCTTTCACCCTCATCCTCTCTTGTACGTCTGATCTCCAATCTCCAGGGGCGGACTGACCATTCGGGAACTGCCCGAGGTCACTACAGGGTCCCATGAGAGGCTCAGTCCATCCCTGAAATAAGCAAGCATTGAGGGGACAGACATTGAGGCAGGTACTTCGGATACCTCTCTGCCTCGGAGTTTCAGCAGAGGGGCGGGTCCACATTCCTGCCACAGTGCTGAAGTCGGAGAGGCGGGCAGAGTACGCAGCAGGTCAGTGAGTAATCCCCGAACCCTGGTGACAGCACTGCAGCTTCATGTAGTAGGTAGGGGGGGAGAGAGAGAGGGGGGGGATAGAGGGCAGAGAGAGAAAGAGAGAGGGGGGGGCTTCCTGTAAAACTTACCTTTTTGTGGAGCTGGTGGAGAGATCAGTTAGGTTGCAAGGATTGGGGAGGATAATTCATCGGACTCCGATCCATTATGCTTAATCCGCAGAACCGATCCATCCTACGTGGATCGTCGGAAGGGGTGTCACCAAGTGTTACCGCACCGAGTGACACCAACCCTAGGGACGCCACTGTGTACAAGTGAACACATTGGTCTGCATTTTCACAGACTGAGGGCTATTCAGAAAATAAGCTTACCAGCAACCATAGGCATTTTTCTAGCAGATGAAACAAGATGCAGAAGATGTAGGCAGACCGGATCTTGACTGCAGTGTTCCTTTATTAGAATGCATTAAAAACAGGAACAGATCTAGCCTGTCTAATGTGGAGGTGCAGTGAAAAATGTCAGGAGGGCAAAAGATGGAAGGTCAGCAGGGTAGTGTACAGGAGGTCAGCAGGGTAGAGAAAAGGGGTCAGTAATAAGTGATGCAGAGTTCAAAGGTTAATAGTAGATAAGGGAAAGTTCAGCGGTCAGTAGTAAGTGACGCAGAGGACAGATTTTGCCTAACAGTAGGAGGGACTTCAAGGGGGAAGATTAAATAAAATCTGTGCCTAGTCACCGTATACTTTGCACACATATACCACAGTCCTTGTACTCACAAAATACTACTTACTATGCCACACGTGACAGTCTCACAGGTACACATAAACCTCAGAACGAAGGATCACTTTTAAAAATTTAAACATTTCCATCACATATGCTTTTCTGCACACTAAAAATGATCACTTTGTCTGTCTGAGCCGACCTTCATTAAAACCAGAAATTGTTGGGACAATGAACACTATAGTCAGGGCTATGTAATGTACAACTCAATGTATATAGTGCATGAGTCAGGGGTAAGTAACATCAAAACAGATGTAGAGTGCAACGTCAGGACAAGCCCACCTGTTTACATCAGATTCCCCCGTCACATCAAGAATCCTCATCAGAGTTCCTCCTCAGAGTCCCCCATCTACATCAGAGTCCTCCCCCCTTACAACAGGGTCCCCAGAGTCGTCCCCTAACATCAGGGTTCCAAGAGTCACCTCCTCTAGCATCAGGATCCTTAGAGTCCCCCTTACATCAGGGTTCCCAGGGTTCCACAGTCTTACCTCAGGGTTCCCAAAGCCCCCCCTTACATCAGGGTCCCCAGAATCACTTGCTTACATCAGGGTCTCCAGAGTCACCTCCTTACATCCAGATCCCTACAGATCCCTATGTCAAAATTCCCAAAGTTAAACTGTGGGGCTTTGTTCATATGATTACTGCCGCCGGCTATAGCTGGCAACAGTAATCATTATATTCTGACGGCAGGGAAACCTCCTGCTGTCAAAACTCAGTAGCGCAGCAAGACAGATTCACTGAATGTGTTGATAGGGACATCAAGCAATTTTCTTTCCTTCAACTCCTGAATGAAGGAAAGACAATTGCTTGAAGTGTTTCTAAAGCCTTGAGGTTTTTTACCATAATGCATTCTATCTATCCATCCATTCAGTCGTATCCGACCCTTGGTGACTGCATGGACCGTCATTCGTAAGCAACTTTTTCCATGAATTCTCTTAGCAATTATTTTACAGGGTAGGTTGCCAGGTCTTTCCCCAACCCCTACCATGCAGGAGATCCCACATGGCCAGGGATGAAACTAGGACAATTTAGATAGGAGCCAATTAACCTACCAGCATATCTTTGGAGTGTGGGAGGAAACCGGAGTACCCGGAGGAAACCCACGCAAGCACAGGGAGAACATGCAAACTCCATCCAGGAGGCGCCATGGTTGGCAATCGAACCCATGACCCATTTACTGCACGGCAGACGTGCTAACCACTAAGCAACTGTGCCACCCAATGCATTCTATGCATTAAGGTAAAAAAAACTTCTCTGCTGCAAGATCTCCCCAGCCCTGCCTTTTATTTTTTTTTTACCTTAGCTTGATCCATTCTTGCCACTGTCTCCCTCCTCATTGGGCTGATTGATAGCCATTGGCTCCTACTCCTGTCAATCAACTCCAGTGATGAGCAAGCGGGAGTGGGGTCGAGTCCTGCTGTCTGTGTAAATGAACACAGCAGCAGGGCTCGAGAACGAACATGCATGAGTGCCCCCATGGGAAGCGGCTTCCCGTGGGGGCACTGGACAGAGAGGAGGAGCCTAGAGCGCCAGCAGGGGGCCCAAGGTTTGGGGCCATTATGTGCAATTCCATTGCACAGAGCAGGTAAGTATAAAGATAGGGGTTTTTTTTTCAAATTTTCCTTTACAATTGCTTTAAATGTTTGGCCAGCCTAACACTATGAGTGGCCAAACAAACAAATACACAGAAATAAAGGGTTAAATTAAAGTAAAGCTTCCTGATTCTTATTCTGATAACTTTTACTACAAACAGCCTTATATTATACAGCGCTGAGCAAACTTTTTGGCGCTATATACTGTATAATAATAATAATAATAATAATATTTACTGCCCAGCTAGTCTCCTAAGCAGAGATAAACTATCACTGCACACTCCAGCTCAGCTTTATTTACTGACCAGCTGACTGTCAGTGTGCAGTGATTGTGCTGTATAGAGATCAAGATACAGTCTGCCCCACAGTAAAGATGCATGCAGTGGAATGTCTGATTAGGAGAGATTTACTTTAATTCAGCATTTTTATTCTGTGCATTTGTGTGTCTTCAGAAGAGGGAGAAGGGAGCTGCTGGAGCTCTCAGGGCGCCCCTGCCTCTCTCCACCCCACCCTCCGTGTCCTGGGCCCTGGGAGGAGTTCAGCGGTGGGGCAGAGTGTCCGAGGGTGAAGAGGGCTGCTGACTTTGGGGGGACGCAACTGGAATCTGGGCATAGCCCACCCCAGCCATAATTAAAAAGGTGTTTATGTTTGATTTTTCAGAGCTGTTAGAGCAACAGTGACACAGAAATCTGTATCTAGAACAAGGCAAGAAATAGGGCCACATGGGAAAACATTGAAAAAAAAAACTAAACAAAACCAAAAAAAAAACAACCAGGTGTCCATCAGTACTTCATTCGTTTTATTAAATACAAGTGTAGGTAGATACAACTGAACTATACTTTATTGTATATGCTGGGAGAGGTAGAAACGTAAATAAATTAACAATACAAAAATATAAGAATTGTAAGTAAGAAAATCTCCAATTACTGTACTACATCCGATTCTGACGTAGGTTCCCATTTCCAAATAATCTGCAATGAAACAAAAAGTATAAAATGTGAAAATAAAACTGTGTATATTTGCACTGACATGAATCTTAAAGCAATATAGGCGCCTTATATAGTAATAATGACTTCCTAATAACATGTTATAGTTAAGTGTCATCACTATATATGAGGAAGAAATATCAACACTTGTCTCAAATTCACAGAACTCTACTTCACAAACAGCAAAAAAGGACAGAACCTCCAGGTGACATATACTGTACATTTTTGCCAAACTGGTCAATTGGTATTCAGTACTAGAGATCAGATATGAAAGGGATGCCTGCCAGAAGAGAAACATGGTTGACCATGTGAATAGCAGAGGGTATAAAACTACTCATAAGCAGCAATGACCGTCCAGGTATGATTACAGCTCTCTTCTTAAACTGTCTTGTCATCTAAATTAAGATATAGCAATTTTGAAAAAAGACCAATAAAGTTACCACTTGGAAAGAAATGTTTAAGAAGTGCAGAGGGGTGCCTGGACAATGATTTTCTTCAGTCAGGCAACGGGTAATGCTAATAAAGAGCCAGCTCCACCATGCAATTTAACAATGAAATGATGGCGCTGTCACCACTTCAATTAGGCTAGAGTGAATCCAGTAGCCATTCTGCATTCTACACATAGGGACTCAATAGGCCACTCACAGCAACCTGCAAAATTGCAGCTAGTAAACAAGGACACAGCAAAGTGAAGAATTATGAAAATGGTCAAATTCGCTGGAGAAAGAAAACTTGTAATAAAGTCTAATTGATGTATCTCCCTCCTCTAGTTAGGCCTCTAGGTTAAATAAAATTTTTGGCTTTACTGTAATCAGTAGTGCAGCAACTGAGTGTTCTTGTCTGTTCAGGGTTCCATGAGCTGGGTTTTTGATTTTTCTCACCTGCTTCTGGAGGAAGCTTCCAAAATATAAAACAATATATATATTAATCACACTCTAGCCTGTCCCTGAAAGGATGCTTCCAGAAGGTGGCTGGTGAAGTTAGTTATAACTGCTTGGGTGTCCTGAGCAGAGTGTTCTTTGCTCACCATGGTGAGTTCCAGTTCTCCTAGGGCTAATGACCCTAGGAGAGAGCTATTGAGCCAAGAAATTGCAGTATGGGCCTCAGCAAGTGCTGGACTGAGGACCTGGAGGAGATTGCTACTGGACTTTTGCTGGAGGGAACTGTCCTGGAGAAGGATCTTTTATCTCCCTCACTGATGATCTGTCTGTGGAGGCTAGGTGGCAGAAAGTAGGACCTGATTTGGCACTGTGGTGTCTGCTGCTTTTGCAAGTATTTTCTACGAGGAAGTCTATACTTCCATGGATTGCTATTAATGTTTTGGAGTATCCTGTGACCCTAAACCCCCCTACTGTTGTAGTTACTCAGCAATACATTTTAAAAATACATCCCCTAGGCTGAGCCTGAATTGTCGGTATGCATGAAACTGTGATTGTTACGGGCAGCCTTTGTACTATTGAAGTCGGAGACCTGGGTATATCCTCAGTGGCCCCTCTGGAAGAAAGTGCTACACCCATCTTTATTGGTGCCAGCAGCCTAAAAACAGAATGGCAGCCTTTGTGCTAAAGAAATGAGGAAAAAAAGTATATGTTAGAAAGTTAGTGGTTTGCAACAAGAAGTCATAGCATTGCATACTGTTCACCGACCTAGTGCATTATCGTTTAAAATAATTTATTGAAGAAACAAAATAGGTATCATACTCACAATGGACATAATAACACAGGCATGTCAAACTGAACAAGATGTATGATCCAAACAACATCTGAGTCCATACGATGGAACCCTGGATGACCAACTGTCTAACGCGTTTCAAGGACACAACCTCTTCCTCAGAGCTCTTCCATCGTATGGACTCAGATGTTGTTTGGATCATACATCTTGTTCAGTTTGACATGCCTGTGTTATTATGTCCATTGTGAGTATGATACCTATTTTGTTTCTTCAATAAATTATTTTAAACGATAATGCACTAGGTCGGTGCACCCTTTTTCTGTTTCTCCATTTGTATCCAGTGTATTTGGACCACCCCGGTCTGTTGAGGGCAGCAAGCAGTGCATACTCCAGAAAATTCCAGAACATTCCTATTGGGTCTACTGAGTCCTTTCCTAGCGCAGGAGTAAAGTGTTTGTTGTGTTGGAATTGCATACTGTTCCACTGGAGACTAATGTAAACTGTAACAAACCAGTCCCATCCATATATGCAGCAATAGTATTTTAGAAGGTATTTCCAAGAAACTAGGAATCCACAGTTTTTGGTTCCTCTTTGTATCAACACTAGGCTCCCACAGTTTACCTAAACTTATAGCTATGACTTCTGCATACTATGTGGAAGTAATAGTAACCTGTGTATTTTTAGGGTTGAACCCAATCCACCGAGCAATGACAGCAACAGTGGGACAGGGTTCATTGTTGTGTATAACTGAACTCTAGGCAAACAGATAAATACAAAATTGCAATACATGTATGAAACTATTCAACCTGCTATAGGATTTGCAACTCTGTCTATGCAGTCCTAAGATAGACACAGTTCTGCCACACAGTACTGTCTAGCAGGCCAGAAGGTTTGATATTTTTATCAAGTCTTAAACGTCTTGTCCCCCTTCAACATGTGACTGCACAGTGAAGCAGCAGACTGAAAAGCTCTTCCTTTTGTCAATCTACTATTTCCTCCTACCAGCATGTTTCTTGTTGCACATACAGTGCCTTGAAAAAGTATTCATACCTCTTGAAATTTTCCACATTTTATCATGTTACAACCAAAATGTAAATGTATTTTATTGGGATTTTATGTGATAGACCAACACAAAGTGGCACATAATTGTGAAGTGGAAGGAAAATGATAAATCGTTTTCAACATTTTTTACAAATAAATATCTGAAAAGTGTGGTGTGCATTTGTATTCAGCCCCCCTGAGTCAATCCTTTTTAGAACCACCTTTTGCTACAATTACAGCTGCAGTTTCTTTTGGGGATGTCTCTACCAGCTTTGCACATCTAGAGAGGGACATTTTTGCCCATTCTTCTTTGCAAAATAGCTCAAGCTCTGTCAGATTGGATGGAAAGCGTCTGAACAGCAATTTTCAAGTCTTGCCACAGATTCTCAGTTGGATTTAGGTCTGGACTTTGTCTGGGCCATTCTAACAAATGACTATGCTTTGATCTAAATAATTCCATTGTAGCTCTGGCTGTATGTTTAGGGTCGTTGTCCTGCTGGAAGGTGAACCTCCGCCCCAGTCTCAAGTCTTTTGCAGACTCTGACAGGTTTTCTTCTAAGATTGCCCTGTATTTGGCTCCATTCATCTTCCCATCAACTCTGACCATCTTCCTTGTCCCGGCTGAAGAAAAACATCTCCACAACAAGATGCTGCCACCACCATGTTTCACAGTGGGGATGGTGTGTTTAGAGTGATGTGCAGTGTTAGTTTTCTGCCATAGTGTTTTTCTTTTAGGCCAAAACGTACAATTTTGGTTTCATCTGACCAGAGCACCATCTTCCATATGACTTCTTGCAAACAGCAAACTGGAGTTCTTGTGTCTTTCTTTCAACAATGGCTTTCTTCTTGCCACCCTTCCATAAAGGCCAGATTTGTGGAGTGCATGACAAATAGTTGTCCTGTGGACAGATTCTCCCTCCTGAGCTGTGGATCTCTGCAGCTCCTCCAGAGTTATCATGGGCCTCTTGGCTGCTTCTCTGATTAATGCTCTCCTTGCCTGGCCTGTCAGTTTAGGAGGATGGCCATGTCTTGGTAGGTTTTCAGTTGTGCCATACTCTTTCCATTTTCGGATGATGGATTGAACAGTGCTTCGTGAGATGTTCAATGCTTGGGATATTTTTTTCATAACCTATCCCTGCTTTAAACTTCTCAACAACTTTATCTCTGACCTGTCTTCTGTGTTCCTTGGCCTTCATGATGCAGTTTGTTCATTAATGTTCTCTAACAAACCTCTGAGGGCTTCACAGAACAGCTGTATTTATAATGAGATTAAATTACACACAGGTAGACTCTATTTATTAATTAAATGACTTCTGAAGGCAATTGGTTCCACAAGATTTTAGTTAGGGGTATCAGAGTAAAGGGGGCTGAATACAAATGCATGCCACATAAAATCTATCACATAAAATCCCAATAAAATACATTTACGTTTTTGGTTGCAACATGACAAAATGTGGTAAAATTCAGGGGGTATGGATACTTTTTTCAAGGCTCTGTAAGCAATGCAGTACAACTGACTAGCTCAGTGTTCTGCTTTTTCCTCTTCCAGTCTGAGCCCTGTGTTATGTTGGATTGCAAAGCGTTGGTACCAAGAGAACAAATTTTATGGCCAGTATTAGTGATTTTATAGCGCTGAAAAGTTCACCTTCAAAAGGGATTTTGAGAGGTGAGGACCCATTCTACCTTACTATAGAAGAAAGCCCTGGTAAACAGGGAATTTCTTCCCCATTAACTGACTTATAAGACTTAACAAGTTGTGTCTATATAGAACCCACCTTCCTTCATGCTCCAGATTGCTGCCTTGTACTGCTCGATTTGAACCAGCTTGTGCCAAGTGTGATGTAGAAATATTTGTTGGTGCTCTGAGCGGCCTGAAAGCAATTTCAGCATTCACACTGCGTGGATTATTCTTGGATTTCTTGTCTGAAACATAAAACAGTCTATTCAGCCTGCGATCAATTGTCAAATAACAACCGGCTTGTAATTTCCCATAGTGAAATATTGCTATAGGAAAAAAGGACACAAACACAAAAAAAAAAAAGAGCATGTAAATTGTGTTACAGCATTTCAATGTGTAACCTATTTGTGCATTTAGTTGTCCTGTGGAGCAGTGAACAGCACATTGAAGAAATTTTCTAAAATGTGTTGCTGCTATTAACCATTTAAGTGTTGCCTTTCATCTAACGTAAAGAAAAATAAAAGTAACCAAATATTTTTTTTCTGCTCTGGTATTTGAAACCAGCCTCACTGTGTAGAGAAAGCACATCATAAATATAAATTATATACTCTTGTTTGTGACATTCATACTAGATGTATACTAGATGCATGAAAGAGATACATGTACACAAATATGTAATAAAATAACAGAAATTTTCTTTACTTGTAAATTCCTTGTTTTGGAGTACAGTACAGGATATGGGACTTGTTGTCACGGATCCAACGCACACGCCCACAGCGACTAGCTAACTGAGTCGTGCACGTCCGGCCGTGACTTGGGGTAAGAGGGAATGAGGGGGACTTAATCTGAATATATATAAGACCAGCCGTGATACACTTTCACAGCCCACACTACCTCTGGCCACCACTAGAGGGAGACTCCACTCCAATCCAGCTGACTGAGCACACACACAGGCAGATACGAATCTTATATACAATCTGGTGCACACTAAGGGTTGAGGAGCAGCCTAGCAATTGGCACACCCTTCTAGGATTCCTCCAGCTAGCCTACAAGCTAGAACCCCGGTGTTAATCACTCTTCCACTGTCCACACCCCCCCCCCACACCAGACACACCACAAACGGTAGCTTGCTACCACCCAACAGTTTGTCCACAGACTGGTCTGCTGGGCCAACACACACACACACAGATCTCCATCTGGCAGAACTGCTACCTTACAATCTGCATGCAATCTGCCAACACGCAGTGCAATTGCATACAGATAGGCAATGAACTTGACCGACCCTTTAAAGACACTGCAATACAATACAATCCCTCCAGAGATATGAACCCGAGCTTAAGTACCCAGAAGTCACTTATTAAGTTTATGATTTAATATCCCGAAAGTGGGCAGTGCATAAAATATGTACAAAGTATAAAAAGTTACAGAAAATACAAAAAATACAAGAAGACACACAATTGGCTATTGACTATAAAATAAAAGGGAATAAAAACAGAAATAAAACTTTTAGCAAGAGTTATCCTGCAACTGGAGCAAGTCAGAGAAAGTCCGCGATTCGCCAGTCAATAGAACTGGCTCCGTACGAATCACACTGTCCATATCCCAGGTCCTCAATTTATGGTAATATGGACATAGGCTGGACATTAGCCCTTGGGCAATCAACTCTGGGGGGGTATTCCTGTACCAACCCACAGGACATTCTGGGTACTAAAATGCCCAAAGTCGATTGGACCAGGAACGGTTTGAATCCCCAAGTCAGGAATTGAATTTCCGACACCAGCGCATCAGTCCGATTGCGACAGTACCAATCACTGTTCAGCTGTCGCAATCAGGCGCCATACAACCATTTTCTGCGTTTCTCTGGGATTCTACAAAGGCTACAAATACAGTTTTACATGTAGATGTAGCCTACAGTGTGTCCAATCAGAAGGAAGTTTCATCTCTCTGCAACTAATATTATAGCTTTTATGAGAGATGAAATATACTCCTTTGATCTGCTGATATACCTCAGAGCTTGACAGACAGGTTGGAGCCATCTCTTGGTCTCCTGCTGCCTCTGCAGCCGAAATGTCTAGAGTTCTCCTTCTTGGATTTCTAGAAGGCGACAAAGTCTGAAGACGTAGGTGACAAGCCTTATTGGCATCTAAGAGTCACCTCCAGCCTAGAGGATGCTCTGTGCTTTCAGATGCTAATTGGTGACCATATGTCTCTGACTGAATCCTGAACCCATCTTATTATTAACATGGAATGAAGCAAAATCTACAATGTCATATTTCTACAGATCACATCTCAGCTACTCAAATTTTACATTTATGTCACACTTGCATTCATAGACCACAGGTTATATACAGGCTAGACACTGGCAACACAGATGTCCAAGGGCACTGAAGCACACCCATATAACCTCACCCACTCCTTGAGACTCTATTTTTTAGCAAGCATTAAAGAGTGATCAAGAACAAGGGGAAGGGGCCTGTAACCTGTACTGTACTAACAGATAAGTCTTTTTAGCTTAATCTTACATTACAGAACACATGATTTGTATTCATAGAGCATGAGGCATACCCAAGCAATAAATTAAACGGTGGGAAAACATAGAAAAACAGAACTGCCAACAGGCCCACAAGAAAAACAAGGGTTAAAGAACCTGAACAAAAGCACTCAGATAACAGCTTGAAACACACTGCAGCCAAATCTTACGTCAGCCAAGGTCTGAACATCTACCTGGTAGAATTTGTAGAACCAGATCCAGGTGGCAGCCTTATAAATATGGGAAGTAGGTTCTTTATTTTGAAAAGCACAAGAGGCACCAACAGCCCTGATGGAATGAGCTCTGATGGGGAAAAGAGGAATTTTGCTCCTAAGAACATAGACCCTGTTCTACCTGTACAAAAAAAGCACATAGAGCATGGAGAGAAGTTTCCTGATCCATTTGGCAATAGTGGAGTGGGACTCTGGATGTCCTTTATGTGGGCCCACATGTACTGTATAACAAAGAGACTCAATCTTGTGAACAGAGGCTGTGGCTGCTAAGCAGACCCTGACAGTTCTTACCATATCTAGGCAATGTAGGGCAGTTTCCTTGTCATATTTTAGGGCAAGAAAAAGGGAAGGAAGGATAAAGTCCTCATTAAGGTGGAAAGAAGATTTTGGTTTTAAAGCCACCTTGCCACCCTGTGCAAAACAAGAAAAAAAAGAGCACCAAGGTGTCACAGGAGATTTAATTGGGGATTTACACGAGCAACTTCCTGAAGTAAAGTCCTAAATAGGGATGGATGAGGCAAGAGGTTTCTGAAATAGAGTGCATATGGCAGAGACCTGTCCCTTTTTGGTACTCAGGTCCAGCAGCTGGTCAAGACCTGATTGAAGAAAGGCCAAAATAAGAGATAACATATTCCCTGGGGCTACCTGTCCTCACCCCAGGCAAAGTAAGCATTTTATAGGGGATAGTAAATCTTGTGGAAGATGGATTTTCTTGCTCTAAATAAGGAGGGATTAGCGTAGTCAGAAATACCCCTTTTCTTTAGGACTTATGTGTCAGGGCTCCCAGGTATGACCAGAGGTGTGTGACTGATGCAGGGAAACGCAGACTTCAGATATGTGATATACAATATAATTTATTAACACTAACAATACAAACATAAACGCAGTGCAATACTAAACATAATACAGTGCAAACAAACCCAACCAACCACCCACAGATAACAGTACATACAAGCAAGCGTCGTCAGGCAGACCGGGTCAATATCAATTGGGCAGGAAGGTACAGGGGGAGCAAGCGGAGAATGGTCGGGGTCACAGGCCAGGTTCAGCAGGTAGCAAGCAGCGTAGTACAGAGGGTCAGGCAGAGGGATGGTCAGGGTCACAAGCCAGGGATCAGAACAGGTAGCAAGCAGCGTAGTACAGAGGGTCAGGCAGAGGGATGGTCAGGAGCGAGCCGGGATCAGAGCAGGAGAAGTCAGCAGCAGTTCAGATCAGGCAGGGTCAGCAAAGGAACAGAAACAGGATGCAGGACAGATACAGGGCCCAGGACAAACACAACACCAAGGCAGAGTCTGTGGGTCTGGCCATCCCTTAAATACCCCAGCATAATCAGTTCCAGGTGTTAGCTGGCTGCAAAGTTGAGTCTCTGATTGCTGGGAGCACCCGCCCGGGCAGAGGCACATCGGGCAGAGGCACACCGGGCAGAGGCACATCGGGCTGGACTCCGGGCAGAGGCACATCGGGCTGGACTCCGGGCAGAGGCACATCGGATTACCAGGCGGAGCAGCAGGCAGCGGGCCCCCGGGCGGAGCAGCAGGCAGCGGGCCCCCGGGCGGAGCAGCAGGCAGCGGGCCCCCGGGCGGAGCAGCAGGCACCGGGCCCCCGGGCGGAGCAGCAGGCACCGGGCCCCCGGGCGGAGCAGCAGGCATCGGGCCCCCGGGCAGAGCAGCAGGCACCGGGCCCCCAGGCGGGGCGACCGGCGTCGGGCCCCCGGGCTGAGCGACGGACGTCGGGCCCCAAGGCGGGGCGACGGGCGTCGGGCCCCAAAGGCGGGGCGACGGGCGTCGGGCCCCAAGGCGGGGCGACGGGCGTCGGGCCCCAAGGCGGGGCGACGGGCGTCGGGCCCCCAGGCGGGGCGACGGGCCCCCAGACGGGGCGATGGGCCCCCAGGCGGGGCGACGGGCCCCCAGGCGGAGCGGCGGGCATCGGGCCCCCAGGCGGGGCGACAGGCATCGGGCCCCCAGGCGGGGCGACAGGCAGCGGGCCCCCAGGCGGGGGGCGACAGGCATCGGACCCCCAGATGGAGTGACAGGTCTCGGGCCCTCAGGCGGAGCGGCGGGCGCCGGACCCCCGGGTGGAGCGACAGGTCTCGGGCCCTCAGGCGGAGCGGCGGGCGCCGGACCCCCAGGTGAAGCGACAGGTCTCGGGCCCCCAGGCGGAGCGACAGGTCTCGGGCCCCCAGGCGGAGCGGCGGGCGCCGGACCCCCAGGTGGAGCGACAGGTCTCGGGCCCTCAGGCGGAGCGGCGGGCGCCGCACCCCCAGGTGGAGCGACAGGTCTCGGGCCCTCAGGCGGAGCGGCGGGCGCCGCACCCCCAGGTGGAGCGACAGGTCTCGGGCCCTCAGGCGGAGTGGCGGGCGCCGGACCCCCAGGTGGAGCGACAGGTCTCGGGCCCTCAGGCGGAGCGGCGGGCGCCGGACCCCCAGGTGGAGCGACAGGTCTCGGGCCCTCAGGCGGAGCGGCGGGCGCCGGACCCCAGGTGG